TGTGCTCATAGTTGCAGCCGAATTATGCCATGGTCCATTGTCTTGTTAAACAGCACTTTATTTCTCATCATTATTTCCCGATGCTTAATAATCTCTCATTACTCTGAATACACTTGCGTTTAACTTTAACTTAAAAATAAAAATCAATTGCACCAAAAATTATTTAAAGAGGTGAATTTATAATATGAGTTTGGAATAGAATTAAGGGCATTCCTTCGGAATGGTTAAGTAATAAAGTACATAAATTAAATGCACTTAAATTATTATCAGGAGAACCATCAATTTAATATTTTTTGCTTTATTTTATATTTAATTTTTTACATAAAGTACACATTCGACATATTGTAGAGAAAATTTTTCCATTTTATATTCTCTATCTTCAGCAAGAGTTCAATAGTTTTAGCAAATATTTTCTGAATGAGTACAAATTCGACATGCTACTTGACAATCAAAATTGCTTATCTTTTATCTGTTTTTGTTTAGAGTTGTGCATCGCATTTCGTTGCCAAATAAATCTTATTAAAAACTTCACATCAAAATAAATACTCGTACTCGTACGAGCAAAAATGGAGCGATTATCTTGAGAGCATGCACGCAATTGCACAATTACACGCACATTTGCTTCCTTGAATGAAACAATAAAGTGCATTTCTGTCACGGCACACTGTGGCGTGCACTATTTTTGCACAAAAACACAAAAACAGGACAAAAAAGCACAAAAAGTGTGCATCTCTACTCTTCTACGGTTTATGCTCGTAACAGGAAGGCCTTGTAGATGTGTGTTGTTTACTTAATGGCACACAGATTCCTAACACAAATGCACATTTCCGAACTATTAAAATGAAAAATACTTCATTAAAAGTTTTTACCAGATGAAGCCCAAAAATTTTCAGAATGAATTTCTTTAAATTCTATTTCATTTTTTTTCTTTTTTTTATTAAGCAATTTTTCATAAAAGAAATTTAAAAAATATTCTGAAATGCTTCTATTGGTTTAAGTCGTAGTCCTTCATAAGTCCAATGGACGCTTCCACATACTAGTTACCAACCAATTGCTTAGTTATTTCTAAAGTTAATTTAAAGTTAATTATTATTAATTTTCTCTAGCTCCCGAAATTTCTGAAGAGCGACTTACTTAGCGTAATAGCTCTCTGTCTTTAAAGATTCGGGCATGTGAAAAGAAAACAGAAAATAGTTTTCTTCTCGTCCGTAACAGTAATATTACAAGGAACTTCTCTACAGTCCACAAAAACTCAATATTGACTACTGCCACTCTAAACACATTTCGGTTATTTACATTAATCAGTGATGATATCTGCTTTGATTTATTTACATATTATATATTATATTATATATATTATATATATATTATCGACTTATATAATTTTTTTATATGTACCTAATTCGTTATTTTACGATATTTGATATTTATAGTTCGTTTAGTCTAGATAGAACCCTTCTGTTAGTATATATCAGTGGTAATATCCATGACATAGGTGTTATTCTACTTACATGAAGCACAATTTTTCTGTTTATAGTCGGCTTTTTTGAGTTATCTCGAGGCCACTATTAATATTTCAATTGACATAAGTAAAATTTAAAATTTCATTTAAATTGCAACGTCAATATTTAAATAATTGTAGGTGTATTTGTATGTACCATATGTATTAATATATATATATATTTTAATTATTATGTAAACCTTTCATCAAACATTGCATAAATGACAGCGACATTCAATTTAATAATCACATTCATCGTTTAATTTATTCACTTAATTATAAATAGTTAATAATAATGTTGAAATTAATGAAATAATTGAATAAAACATGAATACATTAAATTAATAACAAATTAAGTGAATTACTACATAATGAGTTTCAAATTACTTGAATGTACTTACATATATGATAACAGCGCATTACTAATAATACAACATTTGTTATAAAATATTTCATTTTAATTGTGAAATAAATGTTAAACGAATAAACGATTTTAAATTCCGAAAACGGAAGCACTTTCTTCTACTTTTTGTAATTTTTTTGATGTTATCTCAAATGAGAGACGAGCAAATCACATTGAAGAGTTTTTCATATCAGATGAGAAGACAAAATTTTGCCTTAAAACTGTCCCTCTGGTTCAAAGTAAAACCGAACAGCCAGACTAAATATATCTGTCACTTTAAACATGTAACCTTGAGATTTGCTGTCTGTCCAATATCAACCATTATACGACTGCATCCAAAGAACTCCATCTTCAAATATATAAGATTTTATGTCTTTTGTTTCTCACAAACAGTTATTTTTAAGTAATAGGCTATTAAAGCACCCCGAACTAATAGATCTATTGTGCGCCTAAAGGTCTAACTAGGACAATTTTAGACTATTTATAAATATTGTAATTGCTGTGGGCTTAATTTTACCTATTTGATTTGGGACTAAGATCCTGCCTCCAAGATAATCGAGTCTACGTCTTGCCACCGCTGGGCAGTTGCATATAACATGTTCTGATGTTTCTTTCTCCTCATGACAGAGTCGACAGGAATCACTTTCTACCACAGTTATAGATCTGTTATTTTTATTATTTCTATGAAATGAAGTTACTTTTAAGTGTAATAATTGGTTTATAGTATATAGAGTATTCTTCAGAAGTTCTTACTATATATAGTATGGTATGTGTGTGATTCAACATCTTAACTACTTTAAGACAAAGTGAAAGATTTTACAAAATTCTTTTAAAAATTTTTTTTTAAATAAATAAATAAAGTATCAAATGTAAAATATTTCAAGTACATTCAAAAAACTATAGAAATATAGAAAGGAATGTTTTTCCATTTTTGCAAATAAGAGAAAAAATTCCAAAAGTAAAAACCTTTTATTTCTCATATTTTATAGTAAACTATATGTATAATCTCGTTAATATATAAATAAATTTATTGTTGTTGTGATTTGAGTTAGTGCTATTGCGCATTTTTACTCTATTGTGGCTAGGGGGCTTAGCCCCACACTAAACTTTAACTATACTAGAATCATTATCATTTATTTATTTTCTAATTTATGACGGACCGTAAATCAGCATATCTTCCTGTGCGTCTTGAGGTGGACTTAAGGTTTGTTAGAGCGGAGTTAGGCCACTTTTGTGAACAATCAACTTTTGTGAACAATTTTAGGGCTCTGTCCTTGATATACTTTTTCACTGAGTCAATTCTTAGATCTCTATGAATATCTGTTGTTCTAATATTAAATAATGTAGTTATATATCACAACTGTATATTATAAGACTACACATGTCAACTGAATTTATTCAGTGTGTCTTTAATTTCAACTACACTTATTCTGTGTCTACATTGTGGATAATGATATATTAGTATTTTATATTGCAGCTCGGAATAAAGTAAGCCTTTACTGCGTTCCGCATAACAGGGGAGTTTTGAAAGGTGAACAAACTGATGAGCTAGCCAGAACTGCACCAAAAACTGTTTTCACAAGCGCTCAACATTTGTGTGAGTTAAACTGAGTCAGTTTAAAACAAATAATTAAAGAGAGGAAGAATCATGTGCTGCTGATGTACTGGGAAAACTTCCTAGGAGTTAGACAAAGCGAAGTACTGATCAAACCATACTCCTACAAAACCATTCTTAAATTCTGAAAATGTAATTTAAGGTTGATAACAGGTTTCATTGCGGGTCATTATGACCTACTTCGGAATACAAATTAATCCTCGACGATGAGGAAACTACTATGCATATTCTTTGTGACTGTCCAGCTTTGATGAGGCACAGAAGAAATTTTGTTTCATATTGAATTTCAGTTACTAGAACAATTTAAGATCTTCACTAGATTCAGTTTTGCACTTTGTTCACAAAGCTTTAAAGGGCTTTGTGTAATCAATAGTAGTACCGGCTGTTGACCGATTTCACCTCATAACTTTAATATTAATATATTTTTATAAATAATTAAATGTTTGATTGTTTATTAAATATAATTTATATAAACCTTTATAGTATGCATAATGTTTTTGATATGTACTGTAAAAGAAATAATTACAATAATTTTGTTATCAAAAGAAAATGCCTTAAAAGCTTTTCTCTAACTATATATTAAATACACTGTAAATAAAGTTAAATTTTTTATATCTTTTTCAGGTAAGTTTAAAAAAAACTGTAAGGACAAGACTAAAACAATGATCTGTAAGTATCTTAAATTTTGTTCATAACATCCAATATATGTGAAAACTTAGCAAATAACATTTAAGAGGATAAGGAAATACTCACTTTTAACTAAGTTCAGTCGCATCTCTCAATCATCCGGATCAGTGGCTGGAGATGAAAGCGTCCGCAACAGCATTTGAATAAGAGAATCCTTTAACTAAATATTAAAATATAAAAGGAAAACCATTAATAAGTTTTCTACACTCTAAATAAACTTAATTGTTGATTGCAACAGTTAACCATAAAAATATCTTTTTAAGAATGTCTTTACCACTTATGACCTCCATTAAGTTGAACAGATAATGCAAAGAGATGTAGGCGTGTACTTTTTTAGACAAATTCCTAAGCATTCTTTCCTTTTGCAAAATAATTTCGTTTGAGATAAAATAATAAGTATTAAAGTACTACTATGCTTCTGTTATTCCAGTATTAAAAAAAACAAAACTCTGCAAGAATGCCTTTTTAAGTATGGTTTTGAGCTCCCTTCGAAAGTTCGCTTTCATCCCAACTAATATTGGAATGTTATTTTAAGTTTGCGAACTGATCTATCTAGAGAACGGATCATATTATATATTGTATATAATATATATTTTTATGTTATATATCATCAAGAACTTCTACCACTTTCGATCTCATGCCCAAAAAATTTGTAAAAATTTTATTTAAATGTTATTAAATAAACTTCAACAGAATATAGTCAACAAATTTTAACATACACAAAGTCTATATTTCGAATTCCTTTAGATTACATAACATTACATAAAAAAAATTTAACAAAAAAAACAGTAGAGATATGTACCAAAATATTTTCTAAGTCGAAGATTCATTTTCATTGCTCTCAGTATCGGTAGTTTGGTTATTGTTAGACTCACCGTCAGCAGATTCGCTGATGTCATAATCCACATCAACATGATATGGCTTGGGCATTTTAAAGTGACCATTGTTAATGTTATTGCGATATGCATTCTCAAAGAGAAAGTTTAAATAGCCACGTGTATTTTCTGAATCTGCATATGCATAACCAGAGTTATCTTCACCATGGTTCCCAAAGCCAGCATTGCTATGACTAGGGTAGGCACTGTTAGGCTCTTCAGGTTTAATATTATTAATATTACTAGCACCAGAGTTAGAACCAGAGGGCAAAGAAGCACAATCGTCACGAACAGCATTTTTATCTGCGGTTTTATTTTTCCCAGACTTGCCATGTCGGTATTTGCTCTGAGCATGCATCTCACCGTTAAGGTTAACAAAACCTGCATCATCGTGACTAACATTACTGCAACCAGAATTATTGTGATCAGATCCATTACAACCAGCGATAGTACCACTAGGATTGTTGTAACCAGAACTGTTGTGTCCAGAATTATTATGACCAAAACTGCTACTACCGGGATTGTTATTATCAATATTGTTACTAACAGAACTAATATAACCAAAACTTGTCGGAACAGGTTTGTTATGAAGTGTATTGTTAAGATCAGAAATGTTTTCACCAATATTGTTTTGATCAGAAATGCTTATTCTAGTGCTGTTAGGACCATAATCGTTACAACCTGAACTGTTATGAGTGGAATCGTTATGGGCGGTTCTGTAAACAGCAGAGCTGGAAGCACCAAAGTTGTTGACGTCATGGTTGTTTACAGAAGTTTGTTTCACAACAGGTGTGCTGGGATCAGGGTTTGCAACAAGATGTGTGCTTTCACCAGACGTATACACACTAGAATTATCGACAAAAGAATTGTTGACGCTAAGATCGTTCACAACATTGTTATCAACAGGAGTATTGTTTCCTGCAGAATTGTTACCTGAAGAAATGTTTTCTGCAGAATTGTTACCTGAAGAATTGTTTTCTGAAGAATTGTTACCTGTTGAATTGTTAACACCTGCATCGTGTATAGCAGGGTTGTTGATGTTCAGGTTCTCAACAATAATGTTGTTGTTGTCGTTGGGGTTAACACCAGCGCCACCATTACCTGCTTGTTGTTGTTCTTCTGCATTACCTTCGTTGCCAAATGCCACGTTCTAAAATAATTAAAATTTCATTTTTTGCTATATATTTACTCGAAATAAGATCAATTCTGAACTTACTATTGCGTTCTCGAAGACAATCTGCAACAATGTCAAATAGACTTGAATCATAAGAATGCGTAAGATCATACCACATGATAACGCTATTTCTAATGCTTGGTTATAAAGTGGATGCTGTTTAATAGCATCTAAAAAAATTTTGATAATCATTATATTAAATAATTTAGTACAATTTTTTTTGCTTGCAAATTTAGACTCTACTTCCGAAAATCTACTGATAACTGAAATAATATGAGTGACTGGAAAAATATATTTACAAGGTTTGAAAATTATTCAATGATTATTTGATTTGAAAAGTTATGTCAAAAACATATGTTGTATATTACTAGTTGTTTTTGTTTTCTTATTGCTAAGTTACAAATATTTGATTTCAACATTAAATTTACTAATAGAAGTATTTATAGGGAATATTGAAGTTTCAACAAATTTTAAGCAAACACTTTTTGTGTTTCATTTTGAGAATTTTATGTAAGTTGGAACTTTTCAGACATTTTTCAGGTTATTTTTTTTTTTTGGGATGGATAAATTGATGCATATTTAAAACATCAAGCAAACTTCATAATTAAATTATATTTTTAGTCCTTTTCACTGAACATGTTGGCATGTGTCTTTCCATCAGAAAAAAAAATAAAACAGTTATGAAAGTGTTCGTAATGAAAGCCACGCAGAGGAACCACCGTACAGACCTGCAGTTGCACAGATTTATGCGAACGTTGGCGGAAAAGCATAATTTTGTGTTTATTTTGCAACTTGGAGCAATTTTCCAGTGTCGCCATTGGCCTTCACTGCTCTATCGTATCCGATTTCAAACCCTTTCCACACATCTACACATCTGGACAGACGCGCAGACACACTCATACACCAATTTGCCATGTAACCTTTGATTTTTCTTCCGCTTCGTTGGTCTTGTCTCTTTGTTATCCTTTGGTCTTTACGAGCATTCTGCTCCCCTTTTAATGTCGCTCCGCAGCCATTTTCAGAAATTTTCCCTATCGCACCACAGAACAGCGCGTATGAGCTGCGTTCAGCTGGGAGTTGAATTTTAATGCGTTCCGCCATTGCAACAATTCGGTGCAGCTTCACTTTTCTTGAGTGGCAGTTTGTGGTTAAGTTGTGTTAATGGCAAAGCGTTTATTTTGTTGCAATGCATTTGTTTTTCGAAATCATGAAATTAGTAAAAATTCTAAAAATTTATCTCTTTCTCAGTATCATTTGTCTGACTTAAATATTTTTGTTTTTGTTGAGAATTTATTTTACAAGTTACCATAAAATTTTATTTTGTTTTTTATTGTTAATAAAAACTTATGCTTGCTGTCCATTACCTCTAAGAGCCTTCGAATCTAAGCGACTAATTTGATCTTTAGTCCATTGATTGGTGTTTCGTATATATTATGCCATATTCAGCACATTTCCGACTTTGTATCTCTCACATCCAAGTCGCAGAAGGCATTCTCCGTGATCTGCTACTAAGTGAATTTAATTTTATATTTCGACTTGAGTGCCTAATGCTATGTCAAGTTCGATTTCAGTTGCTTGATTTGATTTTCTGCAATATGGAGTAATTATAGGTGTGTGTGAATAATATTCTACACTTAAAAGTCATCTTATAGTACGTTTCCACTTGCTTCGTTAGACCAGTTCACCTACTAAAGATTCAAGTAATTCAAGCAATCTCAAATAAACATGCTATTAGTTGATAAGACTCCAGTATGGTACAAATTATTATTACAGTTAGTGTATAAAATGCAGACGGTTCTATAGTGAAAGACCAAAAAAAAAAGCTATTTTGTTAGAACTTGGAGAAATCATATCTGCAGCAAACATTCGAAGCTTCCCAATTTCAAATAATATTAAACTATTTTGACTTTATTTGTGTGATTCTATGTTTCAGTCCTAAAACTTTCGTGTTAATGTCATAAAGGAACTTATGTAAAACGATCTCCTCTTAAATTGAATCTTTCATACTCAGATATATCATATATCTCCGACAACATATAATCTTTTTTTCAAACAAACTTGCATTTTCTCTTTACATAGACTAGAAAAGCTATTACTTATACTTAATGCCGCAATTCAAAATTCAAAATTTCAAAGATATTTATGACTTTATACTCATAGTGCGAATAATAATCCCTAATAAAAAACTCAACAAATATACACTTAATATATTTAATAACCCATTCAAGTGTTGTCAAATATCTCTTTTATCGTCAGACAGTTGCTTCCAACTTGGGCACTCTCTGAAATTAAGAACGAAGGCTTTGTGAAAAAGGAATCCCTATCGAAATAAATTGCATTAATTGAAAAGTAAAAATTTTTTCTTTGTTTTCAAAACAATATTGCAAACAAATAAAACCGAGTTTAATTTACAATGAAACGCATAAAAGACAACGCTTTTGGAACAACTTTCGAGAACATTGAAAAGGATTTTATGGCTTGTTGTTGCCATGTTGTAGTCATTGCCACTCTTGTTCCAATTGCTGTGCTTGTAACATGTTGCTGACATGGTAATGATAATCACAATTGATACACGTAACAACAGCGCAACAACATTCGAAGACATTAAGCCAAGCCGTTCCTTTGGAAATTACCTGTGCGTGAAAGACGTCGCCTCAAAGTCTTCGCAATTTCGTATTCAAATGAGTTAACGAGTATCTCAGCTCATAAATAAGAGTTTCGTTATTACTAAAATGTACATTGCCTGGTACATTAAACAATTCCGCATCAAATGATTTTTAATGACAACGTCAGAAGGCTTTGTACACGTGTTCATTTTCTGAGTTCCGCCTTAAATCAGTTTTGAGAAAAAACTTTCTTTTTATTCTTATTACTTTCGATGCCAAGTAAAAATAAAAACACTTTTAGTCTTTTGTTTCAAACAATAAATGTATTTAAAATTTTTACTTCCATTCGGTAGAAGGGGAAAATATAAGATAATTTTTGCTTTTAGTCTTGATTTCCATCGTTTTAATTAAGCAAGTATGTGCACTTAGAATGTATAAGTAAAATATCCTTTGTATCTACTTAAAATTTTATTAAGAGCCTTAACAAAAGGGAACGGCAAGTTACTTAAATGCAACTCATTAAAAATTCGAAAAGTTAATGCCTATAATTACCACGTTCCTTACTCTGTGACAACGTAAATGTATTATCACAAGTTTTGCGTCAAAGCTGGCGAAATGCATACACTTTTTCTAGGATTAAAAAGAACCTTAAATGAAGGTTTCATTTTCTTAATGGAAGGAAACATCCGATAAAGCTTAACTTAATTACAATTAATTAGAGAAAAATACTAAGTTCTTACAATTAATATAACATGAAGTAGAGAAATTATTCAATACGCAATAATATACATTTTAAACAAATGAACTAAACACTTATATACCTTTAGAAAGAAAAGGAAATTTAAAAATAATATATACATAAAAAAAATGAACCAAATATATATAAAAAACATACAAACAAAAAAAAATATATATATACATTTTAAACAAATAAACTAAATACTTACTTAAACTAAATAATACTAAATACTTAAGTACTAAATACTTAAAACTTCCTTAAATTGATTCGTTTCCTTTACTTTTAGTCGAACTTATTTAAGTTTTTTTCCCTTAAGCGTCAGGTCAATTTGAGTAGAAAAAATGACTATTCAAGAAGTGTCGAAGGACTGAATCAGTGATCAAAAATTTTACTTAGACATTTTTTATGTATTCTATATCGCTTAAATGTCATAGATTTAATGCGTCGGTGATTTTTCATAATCTTATGTGTTATATTCTTATTAGCCACAAATATATATATTTTTTATACATCTTTATCGTTTACAAAATATAAATGATCTTATGGTTTAACCTAAATTTGAATGTGTACTGTTCAATTATTCAACTTCAGTCAAAATAAATGTTCAGTGTTAATTAGATAATTTCAAATTAAACACATTTAATAGTAATATCAGATATTATGTATTATTATCACAACGTAACCTATTCGGTTGTAATCTATTTTGTTGTACTTCCGAATTTCATTTACAATTTCCTATTCAATGTAATAAAGACGGTAAGAAAATTTTTAATTTTTTTTCTCAGACATATCTGGAAATAGTTGAAACCGAAATCATTTCACAATACTTAGTTGACTTTCGAATCACGTAGCTGTATACCCACACACGTACACATTCATATATGCATATACACAACCAGTCAATATATAAACTCTTGCGCTACTCGTACGGTCTACAGTGCGTATGAGTAACATAAATATTACTGAAACTTAAAATTAAATTTTATGCCAGTACGTTTATGTGCTGCATGCCAATTATATGTATTAAACCATAAAATATTAAGCAATTAATTATTTGTGTATGCATAAATATGTAACCAGATCCCAGCAGATACATATAATTTAATCAAGGAAGCATATGTGGCAACACTCTTCTGCACAATAAAATGACATTGTTGATATTTGTGTGCACAGACAATTATGTACTTCACATTTCTGGATATAAATAAATATGTGGGCTAAATCCAGTATCCTTTAAGAATTTATGCTTTTGTAATAGGGAACATTAATTAAAATAAAATCGTAAACAAAGTGGAATTTAAAATATATGAGCATAAGTTTCGTTAGTTTGTTTATGCATGTTTGTGAATAGAAAAGGAAAATCCTATAAAAACCTTTTTCAACTGCATACTTGCCGCTTCATGCTATCTTTGCATTAGTGGGGTGTCTTTCTTTTAATCGAAACCAAAGTAACCGCAACATAAACGTATGTCCACTTACTTAGTGGTAACCTTTATTTTTATAAACAAACATACATGCATTTATACTAAGAATTTAATAGCATTTATGCATACACACACCGACAGATACAGATTTTCAAGCCTTTTCCAGCTAAGACAGACGTATACAATTCGGTATTATAAATTGTGGTCGACCGTTGAAATATTTTTCATTTTTTCAAATAGGATTTTCAGCTCACATATGAGCAATCTCGTTAAAGGCGCATTTCATTTAACTGAGGTTCTTTTGTCAATTTAACTCATTCGACATAGAGAGGCTTTCATACATTAAACACAACCTTTCCTTTGGCTTATTAAAAAATCAGTATCTAGTATCTGCTTCGTATCCTTTTCTCTGTTACGTTGAATTTCGTTTCATTTTTAAATCATCAAAATCTTATTATCGTCGTCGACTTAGTATAGTAGCTATAAAATTAAAGAAAAACA